CTCGTTTGGCTTCCTACATGCAGCAAGTAAGCAGAAGCTGTAATCAGCAATATTGAAAAGGGTGTTGACATTCCAGTAGTTAGTATACTATATGATACGTTATCATTACGAATATATATACAATATACATATATATTGGTATATATACTATATACATATACATATATATATTATATATAATATATATATATAAAATATATATATATTATATAATACATATACTTATTACATATATATATCTATATATATATAATATATATATATAAATACTATATATATATAGTATATATATATATATTACACACACACACATAAAATATAACTGATACCCTGATAAAAACAGTGTGGTTATGTTGCTTTTCATAAAATTCCTTAAGAATTTCCTGCCTCAATCTTTGGAAAAGTTATCAGTCATGTTAATAAGCACAGTCAATTTCCACACTAAGTCAAAGACCTCTGTTACACCAAAACAAGCAAAGCTGACATCAGATGAATACATACGAGGCCTCGTTCCTAGTTCTGCGACAAAAAAGTAAAATGAAGTTAAAACCAATTTAGACATTTCTGTCTGGGCGGATGAGTGGAGCAGAAAGGGAGTGGGCTTTGCCAGTGATATAATTAGAGTGGGAGAGTGGGAGAATAGGTAAGACTCGGGTGGGTCATCGATGAGGATTTCTTCAGGCCTTGGCTCACGTGGATGAGGCTTAGACCCCAAGGCCTCAACAGACAGCAAAAGACAAACAGGATGTTGAAGAGATTTGTGACTGCAACATAAGCGGACCAGAAACACAGGATTGGGAGAGAAAGACATTTCTTTGACCCAAGCAATCCTCCTGTCAAGTCCTGTCATGGTTCAACATACAAATTCAGCTTAAATACAGCATCCCTCCCCAATAATTAGCACAGACAAGCTCCTGTCCAGAGCTGCTTACTGTAAATCTGGCTGGAGGGCATCAATCCTATTCAACCCAGAGGGACTTTACCATAAGGAAGGCTCAAAGGGGAATAGACCAGGCTAGGGTGAAGGTCAAACAAGGGGTGATAGAGGACACAAGTTGCAAAACAAACAGACCATAGAAGGGACTACAAACAGCCAGAAAGACCACGCTTGGACTGAAAATAGCACTGTGTAAAAAAAACCTGATGTGGGTTTGTGTGGGTGTGTTACTACAGGTACCAAGGAGAGGGTGAAATTTGATCCAGGAAGTCTCGTTTAAAAAACACATCCATGAGGTTGAAGGCTTATCAGACACCAAAACACTCATCAGCTGTGTATAATATGATGAGGGATTTCACAACTTTGGAGGATTATCACAGTGGCAAAATAATTTTATTCTCCATCTTGATGACTATGAAGTAAACAGTGGAATTAAACTATTTCTCTAGTCACTTACACCTATATGTGTATACATGTATACAATTCTGCTGAATGATAAGTTGATCCAAGTTTTAACTCTTTTTCCAGACCCCTGTTGTGCCAATTCAGCTGCCTCAATGACATGAATTAGCAGATGGCGTTTTGTGAGTGCTATTGTCAGTCTGAATGCAGCCCTCATGGCCTCTAAAGAAATGCTTCTTGAATCTTCAGTATATGAAACTCCTCCCTCTACACCTTTCTCTGTTGTCTGAATTTTTGCCACTTTTCTTGTGTTCAAATGAGTGCAACACCATACATTTCTTCAAGGGCAGACCACCTAAAAGTGAACCATGTTGTTTCCATTTGAATAATCGCATCTTGCCTCTTGTTGGTAAGCTTTTCAGTCCATCTTTGAGTCTAGCCACATTGAACAGCTACAATCAAGTTTGCCTTTAAATGTGGTTGCAAGACTTTTGGTGCAAACTAGTTTGTTTCAAGCATACTCTGCGCCTACAGCGCAAGATCCACTTCCTGTGGATGCTTATTTCTTTGGGGTTGCACTCACAGGTGAGAAATACCAGAAGCGCCCTTGAACCTGAACAGTTGCTAACACGGCAGTGGTCCCACTAATCCTTGCTAGTGAGTGTTTACAAGAGGTGGACAAGCCTTTTGTAATTACATTTCCATCAACAATTTTTAATATGCATAAAAGAAATGCTGGATTTTAAGGATATAATACACTTTCAAAATAAAGCCCAATGCTCTTCGCCATCAGTGATGCAGGGACAAAATAGGTCAGAGACAAATGATAAACTCGAGACTGCAGTTGAGAACAGAACCCGTAAGTCCTGTTTGAGGACTTTGCCTTTCACTCTTTTCTTGTTCTTGCATCTGAATGACTGTGACTCCAGGCTGAGAATGCAACCAGGCAGAAGGTGATTACAGGTCTCAGGTTCCTGGAGACAGGTTTGTGTCAGAGTGCCGCAGCACAACTAGACAGAAACTATCTACAGAAAAACAAACACCAGGTCAAGTTCCCTTAAGGCTGACTCAAAGAACACTACTTGCTTAAGCAGGGACCGAGTTCACACAGTTTGTTTCTCATGCCATTTTTCATGTGTTGCATGAGCGATAAGGGTGTCTGAAATGCACTGTGTCCCTCTGATTACAATAGCGAAGCTTTAAGATGAATTACAAGCACCGACAGACTTACCACACCTTAAAAAGTAGCCACTAACTGGTGCAATATGGAAAATGTTCTGCAGTCAGAGTAAGTGAGAGCCACATGCCCCTGTTCCTACATTTGCAAGACAGCACATAGGTGGAACTTTTAATGGAAAAAACACTAAATCACAGGAAAAGATTTAAGATTTACATTTTTTAAATAACTGCCCTGATGCAGTAACCGCACCCACTTGGTATTCACTAGTAAGTTAAAATACTATTACTATTTGATCAGGGTTCAGAATATGCAGATTTTGATATTATCTCTCGGAACATTTTTAGCCTATGAAGTGAGTTATTCTTCAGCCTAAGGGGGGAAAAATATGCAACTTGATGTTTTTAACTTGCTTTGCTCAGCCAACACAAATAAAAGACACTGTCACTTTGAGGCTCCGTCAAACATTACACAATTATTAATAGTTTTTTAACCACACCATAATGATAAGGTGTGTAAAAAAAGGTTCTGAGTGAAGACCTTTGATCCCAAGGTAAATGCCACGTCAATGCGGAGACTGGCTTTAAGGGTTAGCAAACAGAGGGGGACTCGTGTAAAAACCCAGTAGACAGAGGACTGAGTTGTAGCTCAGTGTATTTAGAACTGGACTGCAGGATAGAGCATCTGTGTTCAGATCACCTTCAAAGTTTCACTTTTAGGAAACATATCAGCAAAGCGCTGGACCTCCCGATGTAACTTTCCAATCATAACTGAAGATTTAAGTCTCTTCCAACCAACATAAACAAACCTTCAACCAGCACATATCAGACAGGAGTCACTGCGGTCAGTCCTAATGTCACCTTACAATTAACACAACAAAATAAAAATAAAACACGATCAAACAAAAGTAACAAAAGTAAATGACTAGAAATAGCACTGTCAAAGACTTTAGCAGCCCTTTAAACATTTAAAACCCCATTGTAGGCATTTCATCTAAAACAAATAAGCAAGGGGCAGTTATAAGAGCAAACAACTGCAAATTACACACAGGACCCTGCTCCTTGTGGGAAGAAAGAAAAGAAAGGCTGCATTCCTATTGATTAAGGCAACGGGACAGGTACAGCAGGATTTGGGTCAAATTTCACTTTCACAGAGTGTTATTAAGAATTGAGTGTAGCGAGGTGGTCAGCTTTATAAAGAAAGGCTACATCATTAGTTGAGCTGCAGAATGTCTTCCCCACAGTATTCACAGACAAACTGAATAATCAAAATGTATGGATGTGTTCCTGCCTAAATTAAGTCATTGCATGCAACAGTGTAGAGGTAATTGGTTTGATAAGCTCTGAACTCCAATCACTGGTCATCACACGGTAAGCAACCACGTTTGACACACATTGTTTGACACACATTAACCAATGAATAATTATGTCACTTGGCTATGAATGTCCACACAGGACAGAAAAGGAGTCGCTCAGATGGAGAGAGCAAGAGGGAAAGGGAAGCTTCAGAGTTATTTAAGCGGTTACTTAACAGCACCTGCAGCTACACATTTACTCCTGCTCCATCTATTCATCCAACACTTCACAGTAAAGTTCTGCAAAAGCAGTGAACACCGGTATTAAACAATAAGAGATATCTATGATTTCCAGGCAATATTTCAAACCTGTCCTGGAGGCAAGGGGTCTAAGACACTGACCATGTAATCATAAAATAGCAGGGGACTTTTGTTGCATGTCATCCCCCTATCTCTGACTCCCCTCATTTCCTGTCACATTTCTTCTGTTTACTATGTAATAAAGGACAACAAATTCCAAACTCCATCTCTAATATGAAGCTCCTTGATAAAGTTTGGAAACAATACTTAGATTCAACAGGCCAAAAAGTGTCTCTAACAGTCGGAGCACCATGTCTCCAGTCCTTCAGTCCTGATGGAAACAGTATCTGCATGTATTGTAATGTAATGTATCACGCAGCACTGACAGCATTTGACCTTACTGTCATTATCACCGGTGCTCCAAACACGCTGACTTGGCGCCTTCATAACAACAAATGCAAGTAATGAGCAACCCACAACTTCTTTATAACTGCTAGTAGAGTAATAAGGCGTCCAGCAAGCTGATAAATAGACTTTGTGTTGAGTGCATGGCTTTATAATGAATCGAGAATTTGTCTATTGATAGGCGAGCGCCACTTCAGCTGCGCAGGCGTGCGAACTGAAATCAGATTAGCCTGCCTCCGCGCAATAACAATGCTCCCATAATCCTGCAAGAATTTATGAATTCGCAACCAGTTGCCTGTAAACAAACCGTGTGCAGGGTTTTAGGGTTGCAAACACATGCAAACTGGACAAACACTTAAAACAGAACATGCGCCGTTTCTGGGCTCCAACCACCTCCGTGCATTAAACCAAATTCCCTTACAGATAAAGTCTCCCAGCTCCTGCAGGAGGGGTGCACTTCTTGTATATAAAAAAAACCCATATACCTTTCAATAGACAGCCCAATCCGAGCGAGGACGGAGAAAGAGAAACGGTCCCCGACCCTAACCGCGTCCTCGTTTGTTTCCCAACCGCGCTGCCGCTGTCAAGAATCCCCCACCATGTCCATACAAAGCAGAGCCATGGAGCTCACACCCGCAGGAAGTGACCTCATGACTGACAGCTGGCGGAGAGAAGGCGCACACCCCCTGACACACCTATAGTTTGGACGAATAGAAAGAGCGCAGCGGTTTCTCTGTGGACGGACGCCCCCTAACTATGGTGACAGCAAGTGGGACCGGAAGGACATTATCCCTTTAAAAAGTTTCCTGCAGTGCAAAGCTAAAAGCAAATCAGAAAACAGAGCCACTGACTGCATAAGAAACAGGGGGTTATTGTTGGATTGCTAATCGATTACAGTGTGATAGCGTGATGACGCTGGGTGAATGGATACAGGCTGGCCAAACGTGCACACCCACATCACTGTCCTCACATAACCTTCCCGGGGTCAACCAAGTGTTCCCTTTCTCTCTTGCTCTCAATTCAGTGCAATCCCAGTTCAGTGAAACTCTAGAGAGTCAGAGTTCTGATCATAAAACTAAATCATACATTATTAATAATAAAAAAGTAGTGATGTACGCTAAACAATACCTGAAAGGAAATTTTGTGCACTCAGAAAAAGGAAGATTTCTGGAAAATCGCAGTATAATAACACAATTACAATTCAGCCCTAAATTTATTGTCTCACCTAATGACAAACACCTACATGAGAATCAGAATACATTTAAGTAGTATTTACACAAAGATAAACAAAGATAAGCAACACATAACTTCAATGAATGGGCAACAACAAAAATACTCATTTACAAGTAAAAGTCTGGCATTCAGAATTTAGCTTTAATGAAAGTACATAAATAGCAAAAGTAAAGTAGCTAAAGTAGCATCTCTCCAACTACCAGTCCACACTACGCACACACACACACATTCATTACTGTATAATCACATTAAAGCAAAAAGCCCCAAAACATAAAAAAAGCCGTGAAAAAAAGACTTCACGGGTTGTCTTCCATGGAGGTCGCCATGTTAAACCGGCATGTGTCTACAGTAGCCCAGAATGGACAAAATAAACACTGGCTGTAGATAGGGCCTTTACCATTTTTTGCAAGATTTTCTACCACTGTAGTTTCTCCTACACACTTCACAGCTTGTTGTCATTCCCAGATCGCCAACCAGCCTACAGATGCGAGCAATGTTCAGTAAGTTGTGATCTGCAGCTTCACTGCTAGATGACACTAAATCCTACACACTCTTTAGTGATTCACATATATGTGGGTTTAATCAATAACAAAGCATCCTATCTTATAAACTCCACCACTTTCCACCACTGACTGACTCTGTCTCTGTACACAAGTGACATTGTTACTGTAAACAGGGCTGTCCATAACAGTGCAAAGAGCAGTGTAATGAGTGATACGGTACTCTTTGGAGATTATTGATGGGCAAAATGTATATATCCAGTCTGCTTCGACTAACTTTTGTCAATAAAAATATATTTCTTTCACATTGAACAGTTTAACGAATGAACACTTCTCTTTGAAAAGAAGAAAAGACTGGAAATTTGAGGACAATTTTGTTCATATTTTGCCCAGATATTTGACTATGTTGAGCAACCATCGTGATTCCCTCACCATACATGTTTGGGACATATAAAAATCCTTTGCTTTGAAAAGTAACTTGAATCTGATATGGTTTCTCCACAAAATTATGTACAATTGTTGCAAAACTAGAATTGCTGGCTGCAAGATGTCTCCTACTTCACTCTCAGATTATGCTTGTGAGCACAGAAAAACTTTCCCCTTCATCAGAGAAATGTGAAAACAGCCTTCTAGTGTCAAACTCTGCACATATATTATTATGTACCGTGAAGCACAAACACCCGAGCAATGTAACAAGCAAAACCTGTTTCAATCAGTTTGTAGGTGGACTTGCTTGCTTATATACATGCCTTGCCATGAGAAAACTAAAGAACTGAAGGAGCCTGACAAGACTTTGTTGATCAAACAATTCTTTCAAATCTGAACAGACTATATCTGGAGCACCCTGGTAGCTCCCCTGGTAGAGTTTGTGCCCATGTACAATAAGGCAGAGTCCTTGCTACAGCAACCTGGGTTTGATTCCAACCTATGAGTCTTTGCTGCATTTCACCCTGTTTCTCTCTCTCTCCACTTTCTTTCTTCAGCTGCTCCTGTCTAATAAAGGCTATACAAGCCCACCCCAAAACAATCTTATAAAAAAGAACACATCTTTAAATTTCCAGATACCCTGGAAGCATGGTATAGTTTATGGGATGTTGACCAGTGCATGGTTCAGCTAATTGTGCACAAGAAAACATATGCACTTTTTCAGGAGAATCACATGGCAGCTGGCCAAGTTGTGAGGGTTTCCAGTCAATCTGTTGCAATGCTTTTGCCCATTAATGAAGCAGTTCTGTTTTCTCAGCTGAAGCCAGATGCTGAGTGTGCAACCCCGTTTGCCGATTGCATCTCTCTGCTCTCATGTTTCCTCATCCCGTTCTCTATCCCGGCTCTCTATCACATTCTGTCCACGTATTTGGTGAAGCAATGTGGGTGTCAATGGATCTGTTATCATAAAAGCCAATTTCAACCACAGCACCTTCAGGACTTTGAGTCCATGTTGGCGTAAAGTTAAGCCTAAATTCTGTTCGATCAAATATTTCCAACTCAAAGTAACAGAGCAAACTTCATCTGCTCCAGAAAAAAGTTAGTAAGTGTACCCTGAGTTATGATTGGTTTGTGCTGTGTAGTTAAATGTATAATAATGGCTCAAGACATTCACATAGACTATCATTTCCAGGTACAAATTTGTGTAAAAATAATATAGAATACCAAAAATAAAAAACAAAGAAACAAACAGAACAAAAAAACATCTAACCATAAAATAACTGACATCAACAATTGAAGCAGACAACTCACAGAAAAGAAAAGAAAAACTAAACAAATATGATGCTTCATAGTGTATTGAGGTATAGCTAGGACAGATCACCTGTAGAGACTTGAGTTTACAGTTCCAGTAACCTACTCACATAGTTAAATAAAGGCCCCACATTTTATAAAATCTCTTCATAGAGCCCTTGAGGGTACATCTGGTTTTTCCATCTTAATGTTCTGCATCAGATCATTAATCCATTGGTTGTGTGATGGAGGGATTACATATATTTCCATTTAAATAGATTTGAATGGATCATATTTCATAGGTTGGTTGTAAATAAATGTCTTGGCATATGAGAATAAAGTAGCTTAAATCGGGAAGGACAGTAAAGCAGGTAAAACTAGTAAAAGTACCATAAACTGTAAGTACTGTATTTGAGTAAAGTGATATTCAGCCACTGCAGTAGAGCTAGTTGTATCTGCTACCAGTAGGGATGCATATGGATTTTCTTTCAGCATGTAATTCTATTATCCCGATAATTTTAAATAATATAAACTCCCATTATCGGCCAATAATTGCCCCGATAATTATCATGCATCCCTAGCTATCAGATGATTGGGGAGAAACACACCTCAGCTCCACATTCAATGTAAAATCAATCAATGTAAAATCTCGTCAAAATAGATGAATCTCAAACATACACCCACGCAGATGTTGGCTGGAGTGCCCTGAGCTTCTCCATGGCCACTGTCAATTTCTCCACGTGAGCAGGACATGGAGAAACATTAGACTCAGAAGCTACGGCTCGTTGCAACACGACTCAAGAGAGCAGACAGAAGCGTCCACAGTAATGGGCTACGGTCAAGACAATCTGTCTGGACAACAGCTGGTTTCCCAATTAAAGAGAGACTCAGACTGCTTTCCACATCTAGATAATATAATGCCAACTGCCACATTCGCTTACAACATGGCTGTCCCTGGACTGAACCGAGCTGTAATAAAACAGACTGTGAAGAAACAAACATTTGATGAAGTAATGTATGGTTATGAAATGGCACCCATCCTTAGAACTACAGTTTAGGGGAAGACTTACTGCACCTCCATCCAGCTTAACTTCATGGATTTGCCTGTTTTTGAAACTGTAGCCGTTTTTGTTGAAATGAAATGAACAAGAATGTTAACAGTGACTTCGCGCGATATTTTGTAAAACAACCTTTTGTGTGTTTTATTGTTTCACATTATTTGTGTATTACATTTAATACAATTTAGCCAAAATGGTCAATGATTTTTAGCCATATATAAAATGGCTTTTAATAGAATAAGTTTGAGGTATTTGGGGAACTAGACGTTTGACAAGGGTTGATATGATGACCCAGAGCCGGTCCTGACTCCCTTCCAAAATTCTGCTAAAAGGCCCTTCTACGTAATCCGTGTGCCATGTAATGAGAAACGTGAAGGAGAACGGGCTGTAAAGTGTGTAGGAGAAACTATGATTGCCATGAGACTTAAAAAAACTAAATAAATAAAAACGGCTCATTGTAAGGTAACAAAAACACGATTCCTATATTCATGTGATTATAAACTAATAAAAACATACCTATGAATATTATATTCCATTTCTGACTATATATTCTCATAAATGTCACACATTGGACATTTAAGATATGTTATTATTAACAAATTAACAAAAATAAGAAATTGTAATATAAAATGTAGAAAATAATAAAATATAATGCTAAGCTTTTGCTCTGCTGCCTAGTAATTACTGCAGTCCTCACAATATTTTACAATTAGCTTTGGTTATATAATGTAAACATAAGCCTATAGATTATGGCTGCAGATTTAAGTATCAATATAGCCCAGATTTCCTTTCATACATTTTCAAAAATAAAATACTATTTATACTATGGCGTGGTTGAATACTTGATCGTTATTGGTTCTGCAGCAGTGCATCTATAAATCAGCTATTTCAATCCAATATTAAATCAATAGTCAATGTCAATTCATTGCTTTCCATCTTGCATTACTGAGCTGTAACTAAACCCTGGCTGAGAGACTACATAATCATTGCCTTATTTTAAAATGATGTGGGCCTATGAGGATTATTTGGACCGGTCCACACCGTTGCCTGTAAACGCATGTTAACATGCACCAAGATTATTTCCTTCCGAGCTGCAGGTTATAAACACTGTGGCCTGTTGGCGTTCATCAAACCTGATACATGGTTGTATTTCACTTCTCCTTCTGTCACGCCCGAGCTCACAGAACAGCCCTGGAGGACACCAGACAGACCAAGGAGAAGCCTGCGCACTGACATTTAGTTAGTCAATACAGGCCAGGGTAGAGAAGAACCTGGGCAGAACTCTAGTTTACTGACTGCTGTACCCTCAATTCACTCTTATGATGTTTTCCCCCTTTTTTGTGACCACATACTTCCGCTTTTCATTGAATTTATAAACAGTGACACCTGAATGACCCCAT